AGCCTACCCTAAGTTAAGGGTGATTAGGCCATAGTCAACCACGCTGGCCAAATGCGGGTTGGTTGACTTCACACATATCTTTGAATTTCTTCTCAGATATGTGCAGGTTGCATCACGATGTTTTCCTTTACCGTAAGAACGTGGGATAAATGTACATATGTAAATCGAAAATCGAAAAACACATCGGTACATGGCGGGATTCGAACCCAGGACCTGCAGATTGCAAGCCAAGTACTTGACCACTGAGCCACCGTCGCTCTTTTCAATTTTGATCTAATCAGTATAGCCTAATCAATTATTACGTTATCGTATCAGGACTCCTAATTAAAAAAAAACTCGAATGTCAACCTAGAAACGAGGACAGTATCAATTGAACCGGATCTAGTGGCACTGTATCCTAATCGAAAGAGATTACATCACTCTCAAAATAGATAATTTTATATTGTGAACACGTGCAAGTCTATTCTAAATTAGGTTTACTACACAGATAATAAAAAAAGCAATTTCTTAAAACGTACTTATAATATACGAAGTAACTGGTAGTAAGTTTTTTTTCTTTTTTCCGTAATATGGCAAAAATATTTTATACGTCGAAATTACAATTTCCAATAACAATATTTGCTCTTTTATAATATAAAAAATATACGATAAGATTTTAAGATTAACTTATCAAGACATGTCTATGGAATACAAAATTATTTACATAATTTCTGTAATGTTTACTTACAAATATAAATTTTACGAAAAAATATACGAGATACACGATTTTTAATATATTAAGCCACATTATGATATATGAATATAGATTATAATAAAATCCATACTTCCATCGTGTTTGTAAGTGATAAGAGGATTTCACATTAAAAAGAAAAACACCAACAAGACTATTACAAAATAAATTTATTGTTAAAAATCTATATCACAATTCCTTAAACTATAAAGCAACAAAAACAACAATTACATCAATAACAAAAACTAAATAAATAACATAACAAAAATCGTAAAACGATGTTATGAAGCGTACTTGTTTCCCACGTGATGACGTACACCCCATTTGTAGTTGGCGTTTTTGTCGGTCTTCACGAATGTGTGAACAGGACCAGTGATACCGCTGGTCTCGCGGTGGTCTTGGTCCAGATCATGATCGTGGTCATAGTAGCCACGCTTTGGTCTATGCGCTTGAGGCTCTTCTTCACGGACAGGTGCTAAAAAGTAATACAATATCATCTTACGTCTAACTTTCTTCATTTATCATCAGCTCACTATACATCCCCACCGAGGGGCTCGGAGCCTACCCTAAGTTAAGGGTTAACTTTCTTACTAATATTATAAATGTAAATGTTAAGATGTAGGGATCTTGGTGAAATTTGGAATTGATATTGATTACTCTATGGCATAGCACGTTTGTTCTTAATACAAATGTTGCTCTTGCGTACTTAAATAACTGACCTGGAGCTCTCTGATGATGGGCGTGGTGTACCGGATGTGGTGGGGCAAATCTTGTCACACGAACTGGTGCCCGAAGTCTATGAACAGGGTAGAAAGGTCGCGACCATGCTGCAGTGCTAATCACTGCGCAAGACAGTAGTAACTGAAATTATGACAAAGAAAAATTAATATTATGCCATTAGTTTAAGTGTAGATAGGTGAAATTAAAATTACGCTAAAGATTTCTCTAAGTGACGATTAAACAATAATTTACTTGTTCTAAGTAAAGTGTTGATCAAAGAATGGTAGCAAGTTTTTTGCAATAAATCGGATGAAATTCTCGACAAAACGAAAGGCGTTGTTGAGTAGCGTAATGGAAAGAATTGGAGCATTTATTGCGTTAACTGCTCCGAAATATGGAGTAGATGAAAACATTATTTTTAATTATTAAATCATTAATTTTAACTTTATTGCGTTTCGCAAAATTTTCATAAACTTTAACGGCTACTTTAGTAAGTTGTTAAGATTGATAGTTCGGCTCTTCGATGTTAGTAAGATTTTTGTACCATACGTGTGCTTATATAATATGTATATATTATGTAATACTAGCTATTGCCCGCGACTCCGTCGACGTGGATATATAAAAAAACTTAATTAGTGTATCCTATGTGTTCTTTCAGACTATGTTCTATACTATGCCAAATTTAAACACCATCCATCCACATCACATCCATCTAAACATTCGCATTTATAATATTAGTAAGTGAAATAAAAAGCAGCTCTTTCTTTACTTTTTAGCATTATTAAAATCATCCAAATGAACTTCAATAAATAGAAGGCTTTAGTTTATTTAAACTTTAATCCTGTGAACTTACTTTTAAAATAACAATTTTCCTTGCATTATTTTATTTACAGAAAGTTACAAAACTGTGTCAAGAATCATAGAATCATGACCTTGACACAGTCACGGATAGTCGTAATAATAAATTTTCTATGCTATTCGTTTTATTAAATCCTTTATTTTGAAGTACAATTAATTTTATTACTTACCAAAGTGTAGCGATCCATTTTGTCGTCTTTATTGAGACAGCAATGGTTGCGAAGCTGTCGCTCATTCTCTTATAAGCTAGAAAGAAAACGTATTTTAAACACTTTCTAACGGTCGCATTTTACGCTTCACAGCACATCGATGTGCGCCGGATGCTATGGATTTTCTGGTTCCCGAATTATCTTAGATCAAAAAGTTAATCGCTTAATTGATTTCATTTAAGATAATTTTATAAAATGTAAAGAAGACTATTATATAAATCAGATTAATTTCTCAGTTTCAATATGATTTTAAACTTTATTAATAAAACTTTCTTGTTGATCGGAGTATTGTTTACTAAAGTCCGGTGTACAACTTTGGAATCATAATATAATACATTTTTTATATAATAAGGTGGCAAACGAGCGAGCTGCCACCTGAAATCACTGAAATAGTGAAGTGACCGTTGCCCGTTAGATATATGCAATTGCATATACGTCGCCTACCATTAATCGACGGAGAATAGGATGCAGAGAAAGAAAATATTTTCCCTTCCCATGCAACCTCTCATCCAGAAATTCAACTTCCAGTTCCCATCCTTTACTCACAAGAAAAAGGGTGCGAAGGGAAAGAGGACGAAATTAGGCCTCCGGGACGCACACTCAAAGGACGAAACGCGGAATTGCTTCCACTTCACGCCTGTCTTCTGTGTGGTCGTGGTATTTCACCGGGCGAGCCAGGCCAATTAGTGCGAAGATGTTAAAGCGGGCTCTACCACTGTTATAAAGAGCTTAATGTTGTATTTAATTTTAAGGCCTAAATAAACTGTATTTTATCTAATGCATAATGTGTTTAAAATTACTGTAATTTTCAGTGGTGAAAATCCACAGTAATGTTAAGATATTTTACTATTAACATATTAAAAGGTCTGTAACTTTGATCTTAACTTATTTCACTTGACTTAACTAAAATGTTTAATAATATTTTTACAAGTTAGTGACTCAACATTTTTCATGTAATATCTTACAATATAGTACATAAAAGGGTAATAAAAGTATGGATATGGTCAAAATGTTTTGTAATTTTTATTGCATTGCAATCACTTGTCTTTGAGCGACGGTTTTATTTGCAAATATCAAGTTTGAACCAGTTTAATAATGTTGAAATAAATGATAAATGACATGAACCTGCTAAATTATCAGTTTGTAAATATATTTAAAGAATAAAGACATTCTTGTAAAAGTTAGTTATAAATATCTATAGCTGTCGCCCACAACTCCGTCCGCGCGGAGTTAAAGCAAATCTTATTAGTAGTCTATATCTTCTTCCTGATTGCGTTCTTCATATAAGTCAAATTTTACCGAGATCCATGCAGCCATTCTTGAGATACCTTCTAACAAACATTCATCTAAATATTCGGATTTATAATATTAGTTAGATTTGCATTTTAAATGATCAATGCACTACTTTTAAATTCTAATTGGTTCTTATTTCTAAACACTTTAAGAAATTAGGAACACATTTATCACATACTGTTAGGAAGAAAATCCGACACTGTGCCGGTGTACTGGCGCAACACTAACCTTACTAAAATATCGACGTTTATGTCCCCTCAGTAATCATACTGACACTTGGTAACGAAAGCGCGTCATTCGCGTCAAAGGATTCTAACTAATAATGTCTAAAAATATCCAATACCCGAGGATATATCATTAAAATAAAGTTTTATCAATTATTTCCTTGACTGTACTGTATCACATTTTCTTACTCGACTGTATCAGTGTGACATACTTTCGTTTCGATTCGTTTCACAATACTTATTGTTCGTAGCCTAATTTATATCGACTCTAGTGTGAAAGTAGCTTTATTGTTTGTTGTAAATTCGATTCGGTCCCCCGTACAATTAAATGACAATTTTTTTTCTTGCTTCAGAGCCTATTTTTGCTTTTAATGAATAAGCATACAACGTAGTAGCACTTATACCTGATTTTTGCAGTCTTACGCTGCGCCAATAGCGACAATTATATTTATAAAATTAGATGTAATAGCGACATCTAGCCGTAAACAAAGTAAAACAACGAGATAAAAATTTAGATGTATAACCATGAATCCCTACGTTTAAGAGAGGTTGTTGACAATCTTACGATAACCAATAACACCTGAAAATGAAAAGAAATAATTGTACAGGGAAAGGGTTCCGAGGCACGTTGTGTTTACTAATTATATGTCTGTAATTTATCTGTTGAATTTCAATTATTAAAATTAATGTTGATATGGAAATTATATTTCGATAATTTTCTAACGCACCATTGATGTTCCTTCCTATGTCTTTAAACCATAACATTTCTCTAATAAGGATATAGTAATTTGCGTAATAATTGCATAAAGTTGCGTAAAGTCCTAATTACACGGCCGCTGCGCATAATTAGTCGCTTTCCTCTCCGACTCTCCGACACGCCATTTTAATATCCGATCGCTCTATTTGTTTTCTATCGCTTCCGAAATTATATAAAGTGTTACGCCTACGATGCGGTGAATTATTTTTTTAAAGCCTTACTTAAATAACTAAAACAAAAAGAAACTAAAAGTCTGATAATTCTTACGTAATTTCCAAATTCTGAAGTATTTTGTGAACTTTTAGTATTTTTCTTTTAAAATGGCAAGTAGCAGATAATGTGCAAATTAGTTAAAAAAATTATCAGCCCAACGGGCTGTTTACATGATCAGCTCACTATACGTCCTCACCGAGGGGCTCGAAGCCCACCCCAAGTTAATGGTGACTAGGTCATAGTCAACCACGCTGGCCAAGTGCCAGTTGGTTGACTTCACACATATTTTTGAATTTATTCTCAGATATGTGCAGGTTGCATCACGATGTTTTCCTTCACCGTAAGAACGTCGGATAAATGTACTTATGTAAAACGGAAATCGAAAAACACATTAGTACATGGCGGGATTCCAATCCAGGACCTGTAGATTGCAAATCAAGTGTTTGACCCCTTAGCCACCGGCGCTCTATACATTAGAACATAAAGCGATCAAGTAGGAAAAAGAAAAAGACGGTGACTTAATTTTATTGTGCGAGATGTTCTATAAAACCTTTTTTTAATTTAAATTTTAATTAAGTAAAATTAAGACTCCATTTTGACCCATTCTTCGTTTGTTTACACATCTGAATTAAATAAATTTAAGGCAGGTAATTAGATTCTAATAAGAAATAAAATCTTATTCAATAAAATCTTAAACATTATTAGTTAACTTTAACATATTAAGGAATGAATATCTATTTACCGTATTTAAATTTGCTTTAAAGTACTAAGAAAAATGTTAGGAACAGTTTGAGAATCACTATCACTAACCACAGTTGACAATCGCTATTCCGCCATTTCTACAGCTCGTATAAATTAACTTACCTTTACCAATCTCACTCACCGCCTGTCAACGATTCAAGATGACACAACGTCTCACCGACACCATGGTAGTCATAAATCATTAATATGTTTTATCTATTTAATCATTATTTTATGTTGTACGAGTGATTGTAACATAGGCGTTTAGTGAAAGTGCTGTTCAAATCAGTGTCCTATTTTATTTGTAAACAAAGTGTAAACGTTGTGGAAGTAAAGACTTTATTATGATGATGTGATTTTATCATTAATTTTTAATACATGCGTTGTTTTATATTTTATTAGTTATTTTATGAAGTTGTCGTTGTGAAGTGACGTTGTTATATATTTCTATGAGTAAAAGTGTTTTGCTTCAATTTACGACTTGTAAAGGTCTGTTAGACCGAGCTTAAGTTTCTTTAACGGCATATATTTTTGTTTCAGAAATGGTTGTGGTGCCTTTTGGTATTATATTCCGGGCCAACATGGAGTCCAGTAAGATGTGTTACGGTCAGAACACCGCCAAAGAATCCCACAACAGTAGAAGCACAAGCTAAATTCTTTCAGTCAGTATTTTTATATCTTTTTTGATTAAACTAACAAATTAACAGTTCATAAACATCGCGACAAATCCATCTCAAGTTGTAAAAAAATAATCTTAAGGGGTCATTCATACACGGTCTGTTTGAAGCAGTTCATACTAACAAAGTTGGACATTCAACAGTTGACTTTCGCCATACACGAACCGTTGGTGACGCTAATATTGACGACAGGGCTCACAACTGCTTGAAGTTTGCATAGGGTGGACCTGATGGTTTATGGCTTCAAAGTAAAAAATACAATATCGTAATTAATATCATTGGAAATTTTGAAACTTAATACGTTCCATGCCAATGTGATTTTATCGTTTAAAAGTGTACTCGCCAGACGAATCGGTGACATCGAACATATTAACTTTTCCCTCGAATATATTTTTATTTACTTCTTACTAACCTTATAAAATTCAAGAAATGACACATCTACTCTAGGAAGTCAATCAATAATTGTGTTACCTTTGCCAAACAATCCAGTTGTTTACAATGGAAACAAAGATTTGTGCAGACTGAAGTAAAAGTCAAGAATATTTTTGTTATTCTTATTACTAACTATGTATGCATATTGAAAACATGTTATTGTGTACAAGACAATAGATTGAAAAGGTTTTCCGCATTTCAACTGTAAGAAATATAATCTAAATAAGTGCGGTAATATTGTTATAGATATTTTTAATTTGTTTTACTTATTTAGTCGTCAAAAATTTATATTAAACGATTTACTTTATAGGGACTTTTTCTCAGTACAGTTAAGTCCGTACAAGATCGAATTCGGACATGTCTGTGAGGACCCGAACAATTGGGAACAACGCTACGAGAAGAAAGATTACAAGAATCACAGGGACATGGGCAAAGTAACCGAATTCATGTTACGCTTTCCTTCTTTATCTTTCTTTAATATGTTTGTATGTTTCTTTCTCTGTCGCGCTTCGCTTGGCTTGGACGCAGATATAGACACTTGCCGTCCCACGAGGACTACGATCAAGGTCATCGTTTGGGCAATGAACGTCACTTCACAGAAAGGCACGAGCGTGCTCGGCCGTCTACAGGACTGTTCTCTGCTAAAGTATGCTTCAGCTTATCTTTCTTCTACTTCTTTAACTTTTCGCTTCCTTAATTTTAAGCTTCATCATTCTCATTAACAAACTTATCTTCTTAATCTTTTTAACTTAGTTATATTGCTAAAATGTTGTTCTAATGCGACTTACCTTATTAGAAATTATACATGATTTTACTTTCTAGTTAGAAATGTATAATGGAAAAGCGCTACTCAACGAAATGCTTAATGGAATTCTAATTCCAGGTAAATGTGTTAAAAAATTCAAGGTAATAAAATCCTATCTATGATTAGGTCCGCTGGGGGGATAAAAAAGGAGGCTACGGTGAACACTACTGGGACTTGAACCACGCAGGCCATGCGGGAGACCACGGAGATGAAGCGTACGATAGCCCAGACGATAGTTCGTACCACGAGGACAGACAGGAACCGTATGAAGAACCCAGTGAACAAGTACACAAGTATGATGATGAAGACGGATATGGACCCGAATACCCATCGAAGTACGATGAACCCAATAGAGCTAAAAGGGCAAATACAAAAAGAAATCTGAAGAAAGCTAAAGGTGAACAAGACCGACAAAAAGCTCAAGAAAAAACCAAAACCGAAGAATCGACAGAAACAAAACCAGTTGATGAATATGACGCTGAAGCCAGTGAAGAAAAGGAAACATATGAAATAAAAACAAAACAAAAATCCCAAAGAATAGAAAAAGAACACAAATCAGAGGAACCAGTACAACCGAGAGAAAAGAATCACGTAGTTCTAATTTTAAGCCAAAAAGAAAGAAATACACCAGAAACTGGTGATCAGACACCTCGTACCAAAGAAGATGCAAAGCATTACGTTCCCTACGAAGGAGGCGCTGGAGTGAGACAGCATCAGTATCCAGAAGTGATACGGACCGCTGGTCCTCGACTCTTTCTAGAACCTTCAACTGGTCATGTTGTAGACAGAGCCACCGGACAAGCGTACGTTTTGCAACCCCTTGTTCATAAACCTAGTTCTAGTTAATTGTAATTTTACTTTAAAGTATGATTAAGTGTTATTTATTTAATAATTAAATGTTTGTAATTTTATTTGAGTCTTTTATCATTTGCTCTCAATTTTTAAGTATATTTTTTAAGCTAGGGTAAAAATTTTATGAAGAGAATAAAGAGATATGAACAAGTATTACGCCAAACCGAAGTCTCTTTGGATTTCGAAAATATTATGTGACATATGGGTTCGGCTGGTATTCCTTGAGGACGGCCTTCAACGTAGTAGGAGCTTAGAACAATGAACCTAAAAGTTTATCTCCACTGTGATTGTGTTCTATCTAACAGTTTGGGTTCCGTTATGCGGGCCGCGGCCCCTTTCCCTCGCCAGTCACGACTTACGATCGGCCCCTAACGTCTTTTGTTTGAAACAAATGGACCGCATTGAAAGCGAATGTACTTTACAACTTGCAACTCAAACTCGGACTAAATAGTTGTTACTAAAAATCAAAGAGGTATTAGATTTTCGAACCAGTTGAGACTTACTATTTAGATGGCGAAATTATTTCCCTATGTGTGAACAGTATTGCGTAAAAAGTAAGAAACAACAATTATTAGCATTATCTGGGTAGCCGAGAATAATGACTGCACAAAAACTTGCATTAAATTTTAATTGAAATTTAAAATGTCTAGGTCAGGGCCTCGCGTTTAACATTTCGTTAAATCTAAAGTTAGAGTTTTCTTAAATCTAACTGTCGTAATAAGTTCTGACATTCAGACAGAAGAGTTTTAGAAACTATGTTTTTTTCTTTCTTTTTTATATCATAAGGTGGCAAACGAGGAATCGGCTATCTGAATTCATCGAAATAACGAAGCGGCACCTGCCAATAGACATCCGCAGTTACAGATGAATTGCCTTCCGTTTAACCATCCTAATTCAGGAATTATTTACATCTTCGGATTCGAACTTGTGAACCTAAAGTAAAACAATTGAATGTCTCCACAGAACCGTACCTCGTATTAGTACAATGTGCTTTTTTAATAGTCAATATTTCTCACAGACTATAAGAAGTAATCCTTGCAAAATAACGGTCGGCACGTATCATAAGTACGGTCAAAAGATTCGCAGATAGCTATTTCTAATTGTCTAGCAACTGGTTTGTCCAGTTTGAAGCCGTGAGAAAGTCCACTGCAATCCACCCTTACCCGAGTGTCCCTTGGGCGCGTATTGTTTGTGGGGTCCATTGACAAAGGTGTCCCTTTTGCACTTGCTTCTATGGGTACATCATGTTTTGTATATTAATTGTACTTCTGACATACGGCTTGGAAGTTCATTGAGCAACTTTGTTTATTTTGTTTGAAAATTGTGAAATCTTTATTTGTTATTTAATAATTATTAGAAAATGAATAATAAAACAGTAAAGTTTAGGTTCAAGATGAAATATTAAAAAAAATCTACTGTTCACGAATTACTATTAGTTAAATTATAATTAATTCTACGCAACAATGTGATATAAACAACATTAAAATTAATAAATTAAATATCAAATTTAACAATACAATGTAGAAATTTCTCTTATTTACAAAAATAGTAGAAACTAATTTTGTATTAAAGAATATTCACTATTGAAAGTGGCTAGAAAAAGCGATGCGTCCGTGTGTCAGATGACAAGACATGCAAATAAAGGGTCACTAAAACTGCCCTTTCTCACACAAGGAAGTGGTCAAACTGGTTTTTGGACGAACCCTTTTTGCAAAAGAATAGACAAAATTTCGCAGACTTTCTTATCGTAGTGCATTGTCCAAAAGAAGTCTGACCGCTTTTACCTTTGAGAAGACTTTTTTGAACACTGCCCTAAACCGTTACATTCACATAAACAAAAATAATGTCAAATGGTATCTTACTTATGTAATTAAATTATAAGTAATAGCCTAAAACTAGATTACCTACTCGTTAAAATTGTCGTGTCATAATTGTAGTTGACATTTTGCGTAAATATATTCGGCGAAAAAAATATATAATCGAATGCAAGCAACCGTTGACCGATTTTATTTTTATAATAAAAGCGTTTTGTAACTTAAGAATTTGTACTTGATTGAGTTGTCAAATTACAACTTAGTTTTTA